GTCATGAACCGGTATGAGGGAAGCGTGTCGTTCATACGCGGGTCGTTCGAAAGCACTAGAATCATCGCGCGTGAGTTTGTCACGTCGTATTATTGTGATAGCAATTATATGGACACTCTCGGCTAGATTTTGCCGCCGGCATCGACGTCGGCGTCGATGTCATGCACCGTATATGTATACGTCTCTATATATAGAAAAACGCAAAAAATTAAAAAAAAATCCAGAAAAAAAACCCACTCCGGTGTGCGGAATCGAACGTGGGAACTCTGCGTCGTTCTCCGGGGTGGCTCAGCGATAACCACTGAGCCACCCCGGAGAACGTTGTTCAGGGTTCAAACGGCAAGTTATTTATATATACCACTTACCGCTGCTGTGTTATCGACATTACTAGAAAAATGGCGCAATGAGCGCACGTAGTCACATCGCGCAGCGACGCCCACTCTAATATCCTACGCGTACTTTGCCCGGCTTAGAGAAGGGGAGCAACGCTCCCTCGCGCACCTTTATCTCGCGGTGGCGACGCGGGCAGGATCGTATGCCTTGGTTGGCCTCGGGCTTTACGTAGAACAATTCTGCTGTAATTACCAGACGCAAAAGATCACTGTAATCATTGCAGTCACTGTTCGCGAAAAGCGCGGGATTTTTCCCACTCAGCGAAGTAACAAATAAGACGCTTATTCGCATGCATCCGTACCTGTGAGTATGTTTCGTGCGTAATTTGTGCGCGAAAAACGGGGGGCACGTTTTGATCTGCTTTCCATTCTGCGCGTGACCTCTCAAATTGTTGCTATCGCGTTCATTGCTTCACCTTTGCGGCAAAGCTGTGACGTTTTTTTGTATTTCGCGGGAATTTGTAATTAGCAGAAAAAAAAAACTAATACTTAACAGATATAAAGTTCAAAATTGTCTAGTTGGACGCTTTCCAAACCAATCTACAACTTTCTTATTGATTTTTTTATTCATTTTTGTTTCTTCGAAAGTTAGTAAATAAGCGGAAATAATTAAAACGTATTTTAGAACCCCAAAACTAGTTTGAATAAATACAAGCAACGTTCAGCAACACGCATTTGGTCGCGTCGTGATTGCATGTGTCGGCATATTTTTAAACTCTGTCTAAAGTTAGCTGGGGCACCCTGTATATCGACGCACTGAGGTAATGGAAGAACTACGTATTGCTCGAAGTCTACAGATGAAGATTCAGAGGAGGAGAGATACACTCAAATCGCAACGTTAGACTGGTTTTTGTGATTTTTAGATGCGGAAGCATCTTATACTCGCGCCTTGTAGTGCGCCGTTCGCGCCGTCCGCACCGCTTCTCGAACATTCGACAGCTGACGCGCGCGCATGCGCCGTCGCGCCGTCGCCCACTCTTCCACCATCTGTGCATCCCTTCCTCCTCTACACACCGCGCGCGCTTCACTCCTCCACCATCTGTGCACCCTTCCTCCTCTACACACCGCGTTCGACATCTACAATTCTCCTGATTCTCCAGTGGACGCGCATGTGGCGTCGCGCTTCGAGAACATTCAACAGCTGACAGTGCATGCGCCGTGACGCTGTATATATACTCAAGGTCGGCGCTCGCTCGCTCAGTTGCCGCTCGTCGGTTGGTTTGTACGGCGCGTCGACGTCCAAGGTCGCGGTGAAATGAATTCCAACGAATCCACAAACACAATGATCGACGTCCCTTCGACCAGCGCCGCCCTTTCGCATACGTGTGTACGTGTTCACTCATTTAACACCCCCTCCTACAACCACGTTAACCAATTTAGCCATCGACCCAAGTAAGTCGCAATTTAACACCCCATTTCACAACCACGTTAACCAATTTAGCCATCGACCCAAGTAAGTCGCACTTTAACACCCCGTTAACCAATTATATGCTCCGCATCCTCCTCAGTGTTCCCCCGAGGGAAGCTGCGGGCAATTTTTTTGTAAGGTTGTTTTCAATTTTGAAACTCAGAAGGAACATTGGATCCTTGACTGTGCGACATGGTCACGTATCGATTGAAATCGATGAAAGCGCCATATACACTTTCCTAAATTACGCACATATACTTTAGACGGTGATGTTTTTAAGGAACAAGTTGCCTGCGATCCTCAACTTTTTGAATAAAAAAGTTGACATTTGCTTGCGAGTTTTCCCTACAATAATACAAAATAAAAAAAATCGGCAGATTCCACGTACCTGGGAATCGACGTGATGTGAAGCAGGCGGAGAGAAGGTGACAGTGTTGCAATTTTTTTACTGAGCGACACGTCATAAAATGATGCTAAATATATGTACAAATCTTGCACGAGCATATAAATGTCGAAGAGTTGCAGATGTTTACATAACCACTTGTTTGCACTTGCACAACAATGTCAACTGGAACATGCGTATAAGCAGCACCAGAAGCTGATATGAAGCGCTGATGCTCGCGAAGATGCTGGCCCTGGATACCGCTACATAAATAAACTTCAGCGCATAGCACATAACCAAAATTGACGTTAAGCCGACGTGACGGCTGTATCAAAGGAGTACATATGTAATGTTTATAAAATTGTGTAGGCAGCACTGCAACCACTATTAACGTTACACGAAGATTAGCGCCTACTTGAAAAATAGTTCCGAGACCTGGCGTAGCTATGTGGTAGAATGCTTGACTGGCACAGAACATGCTTTGGTTCAATTCCTGCTGGGACCCTAAAATATATTATTTTTATTCGTCGGGGTGTCAACGCTGCCAATTGGAGGTTTTTCTTAACACTGACATTTATTCTATGCCTTCGTTGGGTCGACTCTACCGATGTCGGGTATTGCTTTACGCTTCCACGTTGTGTGTGCTCGTCATTCCTGGGTAGATACTAAGTGTCAATCACGTGTGGCACATAGCCGCACACCAGCGGCACATACCCGCCCGTGGGTATATGCCACCGTCTGACGGGAAGTGTTTGACGACGCACGCGACGGGATCGTGTCATTATTTGTGTCTTGACCAGCGCGTCATATTCGTCAAACCATCTTACCTTCCCATGATAATTTTTGTTCACGCCAAGTTAAGGGGATGACCCCGCGAGAGCACCCAAACCTAGAGAGAGAGAGAGAATAAAATGAGGGAAAGGCAGGGAAGTTAACCAGAAAATGGAGCATCCGGTTTGCTAACCTGCACTTGGGGAAGGGGGATGGGGAGAAAGATTCGGAAGAAAGCGAAGAGGGAAATAGACGCGCGCAAAAAAAAGGGGGGGGGGGGGGAAGCTGGGGTGCTACAGTCGATACAATAGGCCGCTGCCACGCAAAAAGTTCAGTAAGGCCTTCACTGATTTTCTGTGAGCACACAAATCATGCGTCTTTCCAGCACTGATTGTTCAGACAAAGGTCTGTCGTCAAGGTGAGCTAACGCAGCAGCTAGTTGCCGTCTTTGCACGCTGTAACGAGGGCAGTGGCAGAGAACGTGCTCTATAGTTTTATCGCTGCCGCAATGACCGCAAGCAGCACCCAAACGTAATCGGCTAGATAGATACATAAGCTCAAAGTCACCGAAGTTTGCTAAGAAATGCTTCACATTTATGAAACCTCCAAAGTACAAATTGAAACTTATGACAACTGAATGAATTGAGACGACAATAAAGTGTGCTGCAACGGAAAGTGCGAACGGTGAAGGCTAAAACCTAAGTAAAGCGCTCCTTGATTTATTTGCCTGCATGACTATACGCAGACGTTTTCTTACCTTAATGGCGTACTGTTTTCATGTTTGTTAATAATTGTTGCGCCCTTCCAGTTGGCCAATAAATTCTTTCTCGCCATATAGCATGCGCCAGCCTGCCAGTTGAAGTTTTTGCAGACGGGCTGCTTCGCAAAGGCGCTTGTGCCTAGTTCGACAACAAGACGAGCACGAATGTTTGTTCAACTGCGACGCTTTTCTTCCAGGAAAGCTGTAAACGTGTTTCTTTTGTATATACTTAGCCTTTAGGGTATTTTTATTGTGAGGGTAAATGCTTCATTGTCAATAGTTTCAAGGTTAGACAACTTTTTATTTAGCTTACCAAATACTCATGAATGGATGATGAACAATCAAAGTGGACGAAGGGGATTCAATAAAGTTGTGATGCGCAGATTATTCCTGCACTTTCGGCGAATACTATATACTAGGGTAAAGTTTGCCAATAGTTTATCTCCAGAAATCGCACCATTGAGGTGCTTGCAGTCGACAGTTCAATGCAATTCATCTCCTTATCTAATTTGGCCCGTTTTTAAAGCTATTGACCGGTACGATTCATTCTATGCATTTCTATAATCACTGATTTTCAGAGATGAGGAGACGTGCTTTGTTTTGATAAAAGGTGGAAAAATAAACTTCCAAGACGTAATTACACTCCTGCCGGAAGAAAGGGTTATTTTTGGCGTCTTCGACAATCAGGACAGTCACCCTATCTATTAATGCCTTTACAGCTTAAAGACTACCCGAAGATTATATGCAATAAAGACTTCGCGACGTGACGCTACAGTGCTGTATCGCTAGTGGGTCGGTGTAGCCTTTACCAATTCGTTCATTCATCGCATTGGTATGACTGACTCCTTAAACTGATAACTGCAATGGCGTAGAAACCCTCGAACATGCCCTGTGCCATTGTCCCGCCTTCGAACAACTTCGCCGGGTTTTCCAGTGTGCCTTGACCAGACTGAATGATTGTCCCTTTACTCTGGAGAAGACCGTAGGTGCGTGGTCTTCTATTAAATCCCCCCAAAAAGTCACACGAGTCTTTCTACAGTTCTTGAAAACAAGATCACTGAGTGACCGCCTGTGAAACCCTGCAACATGTGGGCGGTGCGCAATGTCCATCTCCTCCTCTCTCTTTCTCTACGTTATTTATTCTGTCTACATCTTAACGATAATCGTTCGCTCTTCTACAGAACAGACCATGGAAATAATTTAATGCAGCTACTTCACTTCACTTCACTCGAAGTACAGACCATTTTATTCGTCAAGCTTAATTTACACAGAGTGCAAAGTGCTTACCTGGTTTCAAAACTTGCGTGATAAGAAAAGTCACTTCTATAAACCCATCTCTGGAAACATTCTTCTTCGCCTTTCCTTTCCACACTGTTCATGAAACGAAACAATGCAGGGATTTTCCTGTAATTCATACGTCGTGACATACCATTGTAACACTTTCGATGTATGGCACTCAGAGGACGGAACAGAGCAAGGGACACATAAAACACACCACACAGCGCTAACTTTCAACAATGCGGTTTATTCCAAGAATCAACAGTAGATATACCCTATAACCCAGTGCATGCGTGGCAAGCCCCGTGCTCAAACAAACAATCGTTCATTTAATGCATGTGTTCATGGCACACTCAAATATTTTATTTCTTTAACTGATAATGATACAGTGAATTTACCAATGCACGTGCTACCAAATCTGGTGATGAACCACGAATAAATATTTAGCCTTGCCATTTCGTTACTGCTCTTTCCAATACACCCTTTTGGAAAAAGGGCGCGCCTAGCACCGCGGACACGAACTACAGTCTGCCGCCATTGTGAGGGCACCACAGCAGACGACGCAGGCTGTGTGTCCCAGCGACGCTGATGCGCGTTTCTTGCAGCTCACACAGACACATCTTGCGTTTCTGCAGGACGCGGACCGCATCGGGAGGGCACGTCAGTGAGAGTCTCTTGCAGGCCGGATCCATGCATTGCCAGTCATAACAAGCCAAACTGCTCGTCCAACCCGTTGAAGGGTACAAAATATTGCTAATTGTGCAGCGGAAGCAGCTCAGAAAGCTTATCGGAGAGTGCTAGGAGCTCGTTCAAGCTATAAAGAGGCGTGATTGCAGTGGATCATACGGAGAACTAGCCGCCAACACGAACATCACAGCACTCACGGATTTGACGGCTCGCTTTCTATGCCCTCATGATGACACTAGCTATCCCACGCTTCTTTGCGAAGCGAAACTGGTGAAAAGCTCACCGTCAGGTGGCGTATTTATAAAAAGGGTCTATGATGCTCGTAGGCATGCGCTCTCATTGCAGTGAATGCGAGAAAGCCTTCTGGCTGCGGCGGCTGCATTTCCTGGCTGCGGCGGCTGCATTTCAGGTGGAGGCGAAAATGTTGGACGCCCGGGTGTTCAGATTTGGGGGCACGTTAAAGAACCCTAGATGGTCAAAATTTCCGGAGCCCTCCACTACGGCGTCTCTCATAATCATATGGTGCTTTTGGGACGGTAAACTCCACATATCAATTGCACAAACATTTTTCCACCCGTCCCATTTTTTTTTTCTTTTGGCAAAGGCTACTTTGTTTTCTATATCTATAATGAAATTTATATGCACGGTGCAACTCTGTGCTCTGTTACGTGAAACGCGATGCATGTACGAGATGACAGATACGCTTTTCCTTGGAAGCGTATTGGGCACGCTTGTGTGGCTTCAATGCAAACAAGCCATTACTGCCATATAATTCTACGCACTCTAAACTTGTCAAGCGAGGCATAGTGAAGTTATGCCTTACTAACACTTTGAAAAAGCCCTGCGAATATTGTTGGCCCCAATGCGTCAGAGAGCAAACAAAACGTTTGGGGGACTCGGGGTACCCACAACACGTCATGACTTTGGTCGCTGAAAGCCTGCTTAAGCAGCTGTACCCCAATGAAGCCCAACGAAGCAACAGACGCTCTTGAATTTTTTATGACATAGTCACATCTTCTAAAGTGGCTAAACTGGAGAATTCGGGCCGCCATCTGTGTAACGAATCGCGCTGTAAAATAAGCACACATTTGAAATCACTTTCAGTTCGCAGCACTACTATACTTCCGTTTTCAGCTTCAAAATAGACCCTTTGCTGTGACAAACCTAACGTAATCTATCTCCTAGAATGCTCTCTCTGTAACATTATTAATGAGAACTAATACAAATAATGCCAGGAAAGGTATAGAGATGTTATTAGAATTATTTGTAATGTAAATTTGAAGAAAGGGAAGGGGAGAAAAAGATAACTTGTCTTCGACAGGATACAAACCTGCGACTTTCGAATAACGCGTCCGATGCTCTACTTTTGAGCTACGGTTGCGGTCATGGCCCAGACCACTTTATAGGGCATATAAGTGCATTTAAACGTAGAAGCGTCAGTCGGTGCCAGCTGCTGCATTCAGGTGAGTCTCTCTCTCTCTTTTTTTTTTTGCTTGCTTGACATCACGTATACATGATCTTATTACGAGATGGTAGGCTGCCATCTCGTATGCTGCCATCGAGAAACTTGTGGGGAGAATTTTTTTAAAAATTATGCTAACGATGGGTACAAATGGAGTTGAAGTCAGAGCAATGAAAGTAGCTGTGCTCTATAGAGTTTACACGGTCGGCGCCGGCTCTCACCTGCATGATCGGTGGTTCTTTGTCCCAGAATAATGCAAATTACACAATGACAATGACGAAACAGCCACAACACCATTTTTTTTTTCAACGGAGACACTATATTGGCCTTCGAAAGCATCTGTATCTACCCGTTGCCTGCGGTTAATTCAGCTTCATACTGATAGTCTTAACGGTAACTGCTTTTCAGCTGAGTAGTCAAAGCGCTATCTGTTCTATAGCGGTGCAACGCTAGAGGGACGTTAGTGAAAGCCTACTCTTTTTATTAATCTCTTTTTATTACTTTTGGTGAATCAGATTGTCATGAACATTACCACGCTGTTACACCGAATGGTGTGAAGGTATACAAATGACCTTTGTTTGTATCTGCAACAGCCGAATACCGAACGCGTCGCGATGCCGAAAACTAGAGCCGGTGTGCTGGCCTTGCAATGAATATGCCGCTGTTGGTAAGGTAAACAGGTTGGAACGAGCAGCAGTCCGTGAGTTTAGTGCCTTCAAAGCGTATACTCCGTAGTGATGACCAACAACAATGGAACATTTCTTACCGTAGTCAACGTCATCACAGGCGAATTCTCTGAGAAGATCCTGCTGCTCCGTATCCTGAAGAAACTCGTTGTTTTTGTTTTTTAGAAACTGATTGAGCGGATCTGCTGGAGGACATCCACCTTGAGATAAAAAAAAAGGTAACTACCGATGGTGCTGTTGGTCGTCGATGACTATGTAAAAGACGAAAGGTTGTAATACTTTTTTTACTAACCCGACGGACAGACTTAATGCAAATTTGTTACATTGAAGCAAGCTGTACGACTGTTGGAACCCCCACCCCCCCCCCCAAAAAAAAAAAAAACTCCGTAACTATCAGCGTCACTAAGAAATTTCACAATTATTTTACTTGCATGAATTTCAGTAGATTAACCACAATCCTACCTAGCAGAGGCGTAGCCAGGGAAAGAGGTTGAGTGAGCTAAACACTTAAAAAATTTTCAATTTTGTTTGGCGTACGTATACACTCACGCATAAAAACACACGAACGAACACAGTGTGTAGTTGAGCCCACCTCGCCCCGAAAAACATTTCTGGCTATGTCGCTGCTCCCTAGCAGATGCTGCCCTTTCAAGACGGTCTTATGATGAGAGTAGCCCGAAATTCAGTATTGTATACCGCTGCAACATTGTTCACATGACATATCGAGTGCTTGTCAATGAAGTAGTTGCGAGTAAAATATTCAGTGCTTGTGACCTCCATCGCCTTCACCAGTGCGGTCTCCGTCGTTACGGGTGAAGATCAGACCATTATCACAAGAATGCTCAAATCATCCTATCGCCGCGTACCCCTTTCCTATCGTCTTGTCGGGGTTGTCGATGACGTGATGTAGCCGACAGGAGAGGAAGCGATTTATAGCCGACCGTTAGAATTGTAATAATAAATTCCCTGTCACTTAGTGTGCTATATTATTGGGCTCACATGCTCCCGAGAACCTCGAATACCGCTCGGCAAAGACGATCGGGAGCGTTTTTTGGACGATGTCAAATAAGCGTTGCCTCGACCTTTTAAAAAATCGCCTGTGCAAGCAAGCGCGTTCAGACGTTTAGCGCGTTCGCCGCAAATCTGATGGGTTCCTCAAAAATTTTTATCGTGAAAGCCAGCGAGTTTAGGCACTTCGTGAGTTTTCGCAACGCTGACACAGTTTTATCGAGTTGTCGTGATGCTGCTATCTATATGATTACGATAGACACCAGCCAATTATTAACAATGCTGCTGTAACGTTTCTTAGATTAACTTATACATTCACCTTCGGCGCAAATACAGACGTCCTTCTGGTCACAGTGGAACTTCAAGAGTGGACTTGCCTTGTCTGCCGTGTAGAAGTGTTCGCAGGAAAAATCTGCAACAGGAAGCAGTACGAAAGTCTGAGCGTGGGTCTGTTTATCACGCTGAAACATGGCTGCCGCTATAGTGGCCATTCCTCTCGCTGCCATATCCTTCGTGGAAAAGGAATATATAAGCATTTAGCACACTATCCATGCGGATTTCGAAAGCACATCTAATGCAGGAAACAAGTTGATGAAGTGTTAATGGGTATAGTTCTGGTAGATGACAAAAAGTGCTCTGTGTATCTGTCGTGCCCACGGTTCAGTCATGAAAGTGTACTATTCAAATGTTTCAGTAAAACCTTTTTTCAAATTCTTAAAACATTCCTCACCAGGACTGCTATAGAATAGAACACCAATGAAACTAACTACAAAAGTATCAGTTTCATGCTGAATGCACAGTGTGTTTCACGCAAATTTCTGGGAACTACAAGATGTGCAAAAAAAGCGCCACTGTGGTGCAAAGTTTAGGAAGCGAGGCAGCAAAATGGACGTAATATGCTATGTGGTGCAAATTAAGCGACAATTTTTCGCAATAACTGTTTTTTTTTTCTGGCGGGCGAGTCATAATTTGTTCCACGAGGTAGTGTTCGACGCAATAACCAGCAAGAACGCTTGCCTTACACACCGAGGGAAACGTTGAAAACACCGATGCATTTGGTGGTCACTATTGGAGAAGGAACAAATCGAAGCTGAACTATCGAAGTTGAACGGAATAGATAATTTCGGCGAAAAGTTGTGTTAGCAAAACGTCATTGTCCTTGAGTAAAAAGGAATGACACTACTTGCGCATGTGAGAAGGCCTGTTTGTAGCCGGCTATCAAGAAGCTTTCAATTTCCTCGCATGATGTTGCTGCAGTTCCGCCATATTTTGATGTGTTTTTGGTTTTTTATGTTTGCCTACTATGCGTGTGTACTTTTTTTCCTTGGTCCTTGTCTTTTCGTGCCTATATTCAAGAAGCATGACAGACCAAGAAGCTCGCATCGCTATCCTCGTCTTGTTGGAGACTAACCTTTCTCAGATGTCTCAAAACTGTTGGTAAACTCAAAATCGCCACTTTTTAGTAAATGTAGTACGCGCATGAACTTACTAGCACCTGTAAAGCCGTTTCAAGGGTATGTAATTGGGTGTGTTGGTAATTTATAACTAATAATATCGTAGCACTCCCCTTTTGCCCCTTCCCTTTTCCCGTGTCTCAGTTTTTTACGTGCTACGATATTATTAGCCATTTCAAAACTAGTGGTTTATCAAAGAAGGTGATAAACTTGGAGTTAGTAAGTGTACCGCGTGTTTACTTCCATCTTGTGCAATAAGTGTTGCTATTTGGGACATATGTCATCGAAATGATAAACTTCTTTTGCGGCAACGTTTCGAACAGTCCCTTGAATAAGCCCTTTGTTAAATCATATGCTGCGAATGTGTGCGACGTACAGATTGAGCTGATATTTCTGCCGTAATAAGGCCACCATTTCGGCTGTAGTAGCTGTCAAAATGGCAAACGCATATGTGTCCTGCACTCTAATTAGTGTATACTAGGTAATCCTAAGATATTTTATTCGCGTTCAAGTTTACCTTTCTCATGTTCTACGTAAAAAAAAGCCGCTTATTTTCACTTTTGCTGCAGGAAAAGCCAGGTGATAATTAATTACATTTTACCTTTGGTGTTTACAAAGACGGGAATAAAATATATCAAATGAGTATACGTACCGGGTTCATAGTAAGTATACACTTTCACATAGCTTGACTGAAGTTGGCCAACATTAAATTCTTGTTCGAGGGAGAAATCAACACATCTTCTTGTGTTTCTTCGAATAGAACGGACATAAATGTCGACCTTGCGGCTTGATACAGCGAAGGAGTCAATCTTTCCGTCATTGACGAGCTGCGAACGCGTAGAGAAGAAACCAGAACATTATGCAGCAGAAAATTGAAGACATTCATCGTTATAACTGTGTAAATGAGATTTCAAATGCAATTAAAAGACAGTGATGTGTAGTTTGGAGGCTTACGGATAAGATTATTCTTAATGTTGACGGGCTTTAACGCAAAGTAGGATTTCGCTTAGCATTTTAATAAAACCTAACGTAAATAGTATTCCTCTTTTTCTGTCTCATGTGCTATACTGTGTTTGACCATTTACTTATCAATAAAGAGTAATTATCAGTAGCGTTTTGTTGTAAATAACCAGAAAAAAATGTTGTAGTTGACGCAGCTGGCTCGCACAGCTCGTGGTTTGATTTACTGGTTCACGATGTTCACTTGTCCAGGCTTCGTGAAGGCGCTCGAAAGGACCAGGTATACAATAACTGTTGTTTGTGTTAAGGCAACTGTCTCATGCCAAAAAAAAAAAAAACAGGTCATCTCAATCACGCACTTCAATTTGTAAACCATTCGTTTTGGGAAAGCAGACTATAGCAACTTGAATGTGTTAACTATGGACTAAAAAATAAGAAAACATCAGTGTAGTTTTCAGGAAATTTGCCTCAAACAAAACCAAGGAGAAGCCAGATGAATTGTCAGTATTGTGAATTGTGGACGCACTTTGTCCCACAATGTATAAAAGACTCAAGTGTACTCCTGCGTACCGTTTTGTTTTTTTGATGCGGAGCATCTAATACTCGAAGGCCTTGGGTAGTGCGGCGCCGTCGCAAGCTTCCTCAGCCTTCTGTCCACCAGCTGTGCATCCCTGCCTCCTCTACACCAAACGCGCGCGCTTCACTCTCCACCATCTGTGCACCCTTCCTCCTCTACACAC